TGAACGGAAATTATTGCCTTACAAAGATTTTTAACAGTTACATGTTTTACATACATAACAAGTTCTGATTTAAATGTGAAAGGAAGCAGCTTGTGGTAATAATTTCTCTGATATGATTGCAAATTATGGAGGATGAAGGAGATCTTTATTATGACGAGTCGTAATTCTGGGAAAAGGATTATAAGTTTTGCTAAGATTAAATATTATAGTGGAGGAGCAGGAGGGTAAGGAAGAATTGAATCTTTTTTGGGGGGATGGAGATAATTTTGTCATCCAATTCTTTAAGGGTTCAAGAGATAGTTTTTTTTTAAATTTAGTGGTTCCGTATGCACCATGGAGCTTTTAATGCGTTGCATATATATTTATTTTGAATTACTTTGAGTTTATGAAATGTGGTTTATGCTGCTCCACCCCAATTCTGGCAAGTATATGTTAAAGTGAGTTTGATAATGTATTTGAAAATGTATATTGCCATTTTAATGCTGGTGCTTGGTTTTTATTGATAAATGGATACAATTTTAATGTCTTAATAAAACAAAGAAGGCTCTAAATTTGTCTTTAAATTTATTATCGACCAGAACAAAGTGTACGTATAAATATGGGATAGGTCCGATCTCCACATAAATCTACAAGTTTTCTTCAAACCTTCACAACCGTGTCACTAAAGCTTGATTTTTTTTCTTAATGGAATGTACTAAACAATTTTGATCTTTAAATCTTACATACAATTTTTCATAACCAATCGTTTTTGGTCAATTGTAAATGAATCATGACAATTTTCCAGAAATACGTAAACAAGATGTTCTCAAAAGAGGCTCCTAATTTAATATTACGAAACCGTTGCAAACAATAAGAGAACGTATATATCACTAGTTTATATTCGTAAAGGATAAATCGTCTCTTCAATAATTGCATTTGAATGAATAAATATTTTTTCCTCAAAAATAACATAAACAGCTATAAAATTTTCTCTATATGGACAAATTATTATTGAATAAATAACATAGAAAGGGATGGTACATTTGCTGTGGTTGTTTTACATTTTCGTGCTTGTATCGTGTCATATATAGTTAATTTATTTTAAAAAGAGAATAAATTAATGACAAAACCACAGGAATGCACGCGAATTACATTAACAAGATATAATGAACAGATAAAATAAAAATTAATTCTGCATTCGGAGGAAACACCGTTAATACTCCTGATGCAGTTAATACTCCACTCTGTGAATATACACGTAACTGCCCAAATATTGCGAGGTAGGAAAAAGCTCCATCACAGTTTTAGTATATCTACAAATGTAGTACCAGCTGATACAGTTGAGACAGCTGATACAGGACTCTAACCGTAAGGTCCTCGGGTTTGAATCACGGTGGAGTATTTTCGATACTAGCTGCACAGATACGTCGAGGTACAGCTACGTCTGTCTGAAGGAGACTTCTAGCTCTAATTGATAGTTTTGCATGGTTTCTCGGAACAATTCCAGGCGCATGCCGGAGCAGTACCCTAACAAATGAGTCGAAAACAGCGCGCGATCTTTCTTTCTTTGTCCTCCTCTCTTCCCTGATATAATTGCGCTTACATTCACTACACCACTATAAATGTCGGTAGACCAGTGGGTTAGAGCTTGTTCTATCTGGGCCGGCGCCTCACTGAGAGAGATCCCTGGAAGTCAAAATCGCAAGCCCACGTGTAGGTCTGCATCAGATCTCGCCATCCAGCGGTGGAGAAAACCCGCCACCTCTTGGGATAAGCATTCTCTACACTAATGGGACTAGTGACCGTAGCAGTTGACGTCCCCAGAAACATCAATTAGAAATGTAACTTGCCGCAAATGTAGCTTCTTACATGGGAAGGCCCCACATACACGTTCTATGGTGATTGGTTTTAGATACTAGCTGAGTAGTTGGTGTTGATGATGCCGCTTCATCATTAAACAGTACAGAGGATGCCAGCGCTGACCAATCGTTTCGGTATTTTCCTGCGATCAATTACAGGCGGATGCCGGAGAAGAAGCTTAAACCATGAACGCGATCCTTCCGTTCCCATTGCGGAGAAGCAATACAGAAGAGGATATGAAATGATCCCTATCATATGTAAGGTCTTCACCTAAGACATACTGTTGGAGTAATACCTCAAAAACTGGCCATGGATTGCGCGCTATCTTTCCTTCCTCATTCTTGTCCCCTCTTCTCTTTTTACTTGCGCTTACCACTTACTTTCGCTATACTACCACAGATTTTGAGGGAGAAATCGGAAGCTTAGGGCTTGTCTTGACTGAGGCGGTGACCCGCAGATGGAGATTCCTGGAAGGGGAAACCCTTAAGCCAAAGTTCAGCCACGGATCTTACATTTCAGTCGAAAAGGAACACTGCTACTTTCCGGTTTATTACATACACAACACGTACACAACAAACGACTTGAGATGTTCATGCCCCCGGAAACACGATTATAAATAGATAACCAATCGGAAGACTGTAGTGCTGATTCTCGTATCTCAGATGAAGGCCAGAATGGCGCCGAAGGAAGAAGTAAAAGAAATGCGCATTTCATGAGACATGTTCCTCAGGTGCACTACGGAGATTGTGGCACTATTGGAAATGCTTACGGCGAAGAGACGCCACGTTCTCCATTGTCTCTGAAGGGGCAATCTGATATGCAGCGCATGACAAAGAGATTCCATCTTTTGAGGCGTGCGAGTTGCATGCTGGGGGCTTATAATTACGATGCCGTCGCACAGAGGCTCACATGAGGCGTAATGCCATTTGTAGTCGAGAATCACCGGGTCTGCAAGTCGAGGTCTGCACTGAGAAGGTCGCCCGCCGCACGCAGCGTCACCCCGCTGCTTACTCGTGCATATGACCAGCGCGAACGTGCCACGCGGGAAATGCCTGCTTTACGAGGACTGTAAAATATGCTCCACAGCAGCGAACTGCCAAAGGCTCAGCCACGGTCTTGCACGACCCCATTCAGTCGAGGTTTCAGTCCGCGCGCTAAATTCGCTGGGAAGGAATTGGGAGCGGAGGATCACGTCTACAGATCTCTTCTAGGGACTGACATCGCCTGCTAGTATTATAGGGCGAATGCAGAAGGCAAAATTTATGGGTCAGCTCTTGGGTATCAGTGCACTTTAATTTCACATCTATTTCCAGACCCGACGTGTCTTTTAGGACCTATAAATTTATGGCATTGAAAAGTTTATTCTCAAGCATAAAATTTTGTCAGGTGATGCAGTATTCATTATCCTGAACAGCTCGGAATTTCGTGATGTGATTGTTTTCTGGTACAAGAACTAATGTGGCTTGTCTAAAATTTTGGGAGCTAACTGACAATTGTCTGTTTTGTTCCAATTTTTTTAATTAAAAAAAGTTAAAATGGGAACTGGCAAACTCGGTAAGATTGTAAAAGGTACCACCCAGAGAAAGGAAGTGAAACGTTTTGAACAATTATTCTCATCTAACAAAACAACGTCCTAAGCCAACCTACACCTTCAACTTAATCTATACCTGTAACTAAACTTAAACTATACCTGTAACTTCAAATTTACTTCTCCCCATAGCATCACACACAGTTTTTAACTGCTTTTGACGTAATTAAATAAATAATTACCTTCTATTTAACGAAAAACGTGTTTTTATATTACCTTTAAAAAGGTATCTTTACCCATAGAATAATTCAAATAAAAATTATTTTCGTTAAAAAAACAATTTTACTTGATAATACAATTGTTTAGAAAAGAATGACGCTAAATTTTATTTTTTATAATATTTTTGGAATTATTAAATTGGGGGGAAAATTCCAAGTTTGTAGGTAGAACAGTTTTATTTTCTTCTTAAAAGGTTCCGGAAACAATTGAGAAATTGGTTTATTACAATTAAATCAGTTTATCTGTTTATGTGGCTTGGTCACGAGAAGAGTGATGCAAATCTTCTTACATGCTCTTCCATTGCGCTAAAATAGGGCAGGTCACGCACATTGAGCCGTCGCAAAAAAAAAAACATGAATAAATAGTCATAAATCACAATTGACCAAAGACTGGTACATGGCGCAGTCTAGAAGCGTTGCACACCGGGGCGAGATAGATGGTGATGCGTCCCTTCGGACCACACTGTGCACAGTCCCTTCGCACCGAGCCGAAGCACGGACTGCCACCGCCACTGCCACCGCCACTGCCACCGCCACTGCCACCGCCACTGCCACCGCCACTGCCACCGCGCCCGCCCTCAGCTTCGCCGCCATGCAGAGCGCTGGTGTTCCATGCGTGCCGTATCTTCGACCCCCCCCCCCTTCCGGCTGCTTCAACGCAACCCATCGAACGGTGAACCCGGAGAGCTGGATCATGGCATCAACTGATGTCACTGCAGTTCTCTGATCGGGAGGTTCTAGGTTCGATTCCCTACGGCGGCGGAATTGTAGATCGTAGCTAATTGCAGCTAGGTCGAGTTCTGTCGCTGTATAGAGAATAATTCTAGTAGCCGGCTGCTCTGATCGGACGTTTTCCGTGGTTTCTCCTACCAATACCAGGCGAATGCTCAAGCAGTATCCTAATAAACGGGCCACGGGCCGTGCGCGACACTTATTTGCACTACACTACCACACATGGTGGGAAACTGGTTGGGAGCTTAGAGATTGTCCCGGATGGGGTGGTGCCCAAATGATGGGAGATATCTAGTCGAGGAAAACTCCGCTAGTCGACGGTAGGTCGGCACCGAATCTCACCATCTAGCGGGGGGAAGATCATCTCCAGACCAAAATCATGCACCACACTGAGAATAATGATCTTAGCAGTTGACGGGCCCGGAATCACTAATCAATCAATTAATCCAACCGAGGAGCGCTGCATGGTCCTCGTGATACCAACATAATTTGGAATCACTCTTATCAGCAATATGACACTGCGGAGCAACTTTCCTGGCGTTCTGCATAAAGGGCTGTAACTGCATAAAGGTGGAATGCAGGTCCCTCCTAGTACTCACTTTGGCAGAAGCTGGTAGAGTAACTCTTCGCACTTGCGTTTTTCCTCGAAGTAGTCGGACGTGCGTTCCTCCACGAGGGCCTCGAGGTTGTTCGCGTACTGCTCCATGCGTGACAGCAAGTTGTCGAGGATGTTGCCACTGTCGTTATTCCTGAAATGAAGAAGCAAGCGGTAAGTGGATCGCCAAGAACAAGAAATTTTATCTGTTGAATATGATTGTGCGATAATTTTTAATATCTTCTCGTTAATGTAATGTGCGGAACAAAACCAATGACCAATAATATAGATTTTATTTTCTTTTAACATGACAACTTATGAGAAATACTTCATTATGAGAAATACTACAAATTTGTTGCTGCGCAACCAAGCGGTTTGCATTCTAGCGACAGTTGTAGCTAGTGATCGCAGTGTGCTTTTCGTTTAGTTAGAAAGTGAATATTTCACTACAACGACCCTGGTACAAGGCAAATCATCTATGGTGCTTTATTTGCTTTAAACCAAATGGAGACCAAATGCATCACCTGAAAAGAAATTTCATCAACTCCCTACACGCAAAATTCAACATGGGTACAGCCAAGCCAAATCAGCGGACATCTAGCTCAGGGGACGGGGACATCTAGCTCAGGAGGCCTTCCTTCTTAGCTACTAAAGTCCCGAAACAAACGTGCATGCGACCACAAAGCAGCCTCGAGCCAAAGCGTTCAAATGGTATATCGGAGCGTGATTCATTGCAAAAAAATTGCGGTGGCGGCGATGGTGTAACGGTTAGCGTATCGGACTGTTATACCCGATGGGGATTCAAACCCGATCGAAACCGTGGGTTTTCAAGGGCTTCGATCGCCTTCCTTCAGAGGGGAAGTAAAGCCACCTTACCAAATACCTACAAAATATAATTGAAGAAAGAAGACTACAAATTCGAACAATATAAAAATATGAGCTGGTTTCGATGGCCGAGATCGTGAAGGCAGCAGTTTCGGATCGAATGATCTCGGGTTCGAGTCGATCCTCGGTTAAAAACTGTGGGTGAAGAAGTAAGGGGTGAAAGTGCAACCAATAGCCGTTTTCTTGAAGTTCACTCTAACTCATATACTAATTCATATTAAGATGAATTATGAATATAGGTATGAAGGAGCGATTTTGGCATGAATTGATAATATAATATAATATATGTTCGCTGGTCGCAGAAAACTAAATAGATGATTTGAAAAGGAAAATAAGTCCTTGTTCCATAGTTCAATTAAAAAGAAAGAACTTAATAACATCCGGAGTTGGTATTTGGGACATTTATCTTCTACACAAAAGTTGTAGAAGTATTTGTTATTGACTGCTTTGGTTACTCTGTAACTTTATATTGGCATATCTGTGATGTACAAAACCGTTTTTATACCTTGGACTTATTTTCTTTATAACATAATTATCAATTATTTAAAAAATGTATTTCTTTAGTTTTGGACTCATGAAACAATATAATTATAGAATAAATATATGATGACATAAATTAACATATTGCTAATGAAGATTAATACTCTTACTAAATTAATAATATCAGCATCAATTAATTACCGATTTCCCCTTGAGTTTGTGGTTACGTCAAAACTTTCTGATAGAAATGGAGATAATCATGTAGGATTTTCTTTCCATTGATTGAAAGAACAGCTGAAACATAAACTTTCTTGGAAGGCAAATATTGACGTGCCTTCCCTTTTGTCAACATGAATGAGTTCTTGATAACCCCTTCAATATATGTATGTACTCACGTGTCAATAAGTAACCAAATATTCTCTATCATACGTTAGGTACTTGGCTTTGAAAGTGTTACACCAGGCTCACAATGAGGACTGCCAGGACGAGCAGGAGACTTCATTGTCTTCTTAAAATAGGCCACTTGGTTTTGAAGTTTATGATGTTCTCAGTGTTACTATACTACTGTCCATTCTCCAAGAAATACTGTACAAAACGTACACTATTACTGTGGTCATGAATCTTTTAGGCTTTTCCTATCTAATAATATATCTGGTAATACTATTTCTTGTGTGTGAGGATCAGAAAATAGTTCTGAAGTACTTTCTCTTTTCCAGGAATAAGAATATTTTGTTGGCAATAGAACACATACTTTAAGCTGGACAAGTTTCATTATTACAGTTATCTATAGCTTGAAAAATGACAAAGAAAATGTATATCTCAACTCTTTCTATGAAAAAAGTGGACATATTTCGGATTTAAAATCACAGATTCAATTAACATTCGTTTCTTCAATAATAACGAAGAAAAATGTCTTTATAAACGCAGGAGAAATTTGTGCCGCATACTACCGTTTTTAGGGCATGCTAATATGAACTCGTCAGAGTCAAAAAAATTTTATTAACCTATCAAATATTCATTACTAGCAGCTACCCTCACACCGTGGTTGATGATACTGTTTCATTAACCTCGATTTATGGTACTGAAGGAGCATTTCTCATTTGACGTACTTCTCATTTCTTCTCACTTGTGACGTCAGTGAAGACGTCAAAGTCATTTAAAAGAGTTCATGCTATCTCTATAAATATTAATAGCAGTTAATAGCAAGTTTACAACTATTAATTTCATAGAAGGACAATTGAACGCAAGGCTGCATTGGGGCATCAAAAAGATGGACGCAAGAAATGAAATATGAACGTCACTAGCATCAAATGCTTGAAGTTTGAAGCCACCTACTCTACAATAGTTAAACTGATTATGATGAACACCTCGTACAATTGTCATTGTGCTACAAAAGGTTTTATTTGGCGTTATTTGCTTTGAATTGGGACATTCATTCAAAGATTTTGTATCAAATACATGATATTAATATCAGATTTACAGAAGAGTATTGCAATAATTTCCTATTTCACTTCATTGCTTTTGTTTTTATTTGGTGTTTGATGTGGAAATAGTGTGTTTGAGTTGCACACAATATTATTTATTTATTTTATTTATTTACTACTTTATCATTCCTGTTTCATTTAGAAAACTATATTTTCAGTAGTATACAAAAATTACTTTCGATAATGAACAAACTAAAAAACTAGCAAGAATAAATACAGTTTATTGATAAAGGAACATAATAATAATAATTTATGTATTAAGGCCATAAAGAAAATGTTCTCCGGCCAAGATATTGAAATTTACAACAAATAGTTCTATAATTAATTTTTTGCACATTCACCTCTAAAATGTATTTAAACGAATGGGGAAAAATCAAACATCAACGAATTTATCTAGATTCCGTATGGTCTCCGTGGGTTTTAATACAGCAGCATCATGGTTTTAGTACAGTAGCTTTCTCAATCAAGACAGGCAAGTAATACCCTAAAATCCTTCTTATCATACTTTTCTCCTCTATCCCGGGGGCCTGCGGGTTGATGGAGGAGCTTAAAATCTGTATACCCATCAAACAAGTTTCCTCCCTCTCTCTTTATCTTACCCAGCTCTGCTTTACATTCATTAACGCTTCCCATCTACGACTTAAAATGGGCACTGGCAATATGGTATACATCTGGGAGAGTAGCTAATGAGTTAGGAAAGCGATCGACACTGCTATCCTGCGCCCAATATGATGGCTCACTGCAAAAATGGCTGTTTCAACACCCTTAAAGAGCCAGTTCGTTAGACGTTCGTTTGAATGAACCTTGGCCTGACTGAAAACCTACCATCGGAATTTTTAACTTCAAAGGAGTAGAGCCGTGATTTTAAGGTCTCCATCTGGTGACAGTGGCATCATTCGAGGCACCGTGGCATGCCACGAGGTTCTCAGAACAACTAGCGTTGAGAAAGGAAACTATCAGTTATTACTTTGCCGATTTCGAAGTTTTCGTCGTTTTCATAGTAATGACGTTTTTGAAGCTAGTTTTTTTCGTTTTAAAGCAAGGGATTTAAAATAGTTTCATGTAGATTGGGAGGAAGTGTTTCTGTGTGAAAAATAGTGGTACACATGCGAAATGCTTAGTGTTTAATCAATTGTTTCAAATAAAGATGTGCAAAAACACTGTGGAATGAAACAGAAGGTTGAATATGAAAATGTAGTGGGTGAAGAAAGATCAAATTTACTACAGCGTTTGAGACAACAATATAAAAATTAATTAAAAATATAAATAAAAATAACAACAACGTTCTAAAATTCATTTATCTAAATCCCGCCTAATCGTATTTCATGAGTAAAGCGTAAAAGCGTTAAGGGGACTTTGACAACCTACTACTCTCTTCTGGCGAGGTGACCAACTGCGTGGAGGGGTCATTTCGTCGTGCTATCCGTGCCACGGATTCCAATTCGTGGCATCGACCTTGACATCACTGGACTAGAGTCATAAGCAATGGACTACATAAGTCATCGGACTACTAGCAATGCAAATCTACGGCACAAACGGAATGGAGAATGGAACTCCTGACAATTATCTGATGAAATGTAAGATCTTGGAACACTAATCATAAGGACATATTATCAGAATTAAGAGAAAAAATCAATAATATCTGCGTAATATCAGAAACAAAGAAAAGGGCAAATCTCAACAGTAACGCAAAAGTAATGATGGTACAGAGCTCACTGTGCAACATACACCGAGACTCGGACCTGAATGCACAGTGATAAAATTGCATCTGATAAGGGCGTAGCAGTCTCAACGAGATGTCGAGTCCGTTCTAAATCATGATGATGATAAGCACATCGAGCTCTGCACCGTTACGAGTACTCAAAATAACATAGGTTACAGTGTAACTCGGTGCACTTATCAGTGAAGTGGAATGTGTAGGAGAGATATACCTCAATGAAGTGTTGCGATTATAAAGATAATTAACATCGCGGGTACATCACCCGGCAATGGCCTAGGCCACAACATCGCCGGTGTTATGGTGCTGCTCAACAATAATAAAAGCGCCATGAGCACATATTCCCACTAACCCTGGGACCAGAGCAAATTCGCGGACACACGCCTAGGGAGAACATCCGAAAAGTCAGAATGCCTAGTTCTACACAGACCCGCCGAGAAAAAACACAGGTCTCCATCAAGTTACAGGAACTTTCCCGCGTGATAAACGCAACTCGAAGGTCAGTAGCCTTTTCGCAGAGTGGCGCAGTGGTACAGACGGATAAG